GCGAGACAGAACGCGGATCAAGATGTCAGTGAAGCGAAGAGAACGACGCCGGGAAGTAGTGGGAGTAAGAGGTTGAGTCATGTGCAGGTTAGTCCGAGGCCGAGGTCTTCTGGGTCGGGGAAGGTGGGGGGAGTTGGGAAGGATGAGGGTGGGGATGGGGAGATGGAGGTGGTGGAGGGGGGTGAGGGTGTGGGGGAGTTGCAAGATGGGCCTGACGCCGAAGCAGGACCTTCACACCAACAATCCCGATCCCAACCCGCATATCTACCGCCATCCCAAAACTCAGCAACAGGCACCTCCACACCAACGCCTTCCTTCGCCGAACGCGTCATCCTCACCCCCCGCAGCATAATCAACCAGCTCAAGAGCCTCAAGGAATATCTTTTCCGCAGCCCGAGTTTAGTGCTAGGGAGAGAAGAAGAGAGGGAGATTGATGATGCGTTGTTTGATATTAGGAGGCAGGTGCATGCTGCGGGGTTGAGGGGGGAGGGTGAAGATAGGGATGGAGGGATGTGATGGGGTAGAGGAGGAGGAGGGGGAGGGGGTTATTGGGAAAATATTGGGGATGTGTTTTGATGGTTTGGATGTGGGATGAAAGGATGTAGGATGTTGGATGTGGGATGTAGGAAAACGTAGGATAATGTCATGGATGAAGTCTTTGTATCAACGTCAACATGTGTAGCATATACAACGAACGTGGTCACGATAAAATCACAAAACATCTGGACACCTCGATCTTTTTTGTAATGTAACTCATATTCCAAACTGTATCACAGAGTCTGCGACATTCTAGTCACTAGGTGTAATGCCTTTTGTCTGCCACGCAAACGCCTCCCCATGCTCATGAAAGTTTCGTTAAAAAGACACGTACGTAAAAGAAAGAAAAGAACCCAAAACAACGCAATCCACCCTGACCCAAACTTCCCTGTCGAGGAACAACTACTGCAGAAGGGGATCGCGGAAATGCTTCTGCGAGTTCTGCGCCTTCTCAACATTAGCCTGGTAGCGACTGCGAGCAGCTTGCTCCTTCCTCCTATCGCGCTTCTCGACAGCTTGGATCTCCTTCTTCTTGGCGTCGGTGACACCGACCATACCCCGCCCGCCGTTGGCGCGGGAGAGGAGCTGGCGGTCTTTATCGTGGCCACGACCGCGGACTTGGAGTTGGCTGCCCTCCTCGCCTTCTTCGCCGTCCATGGTGACGTCGCCGTCCTGGTCCTCTTCGTCTTCGTCGCCGGCGGTGATGGCACCGGGTATGCGGGCGCGTTGGGCTTCCTCCATGCGCTCGGCGACGCCGGGGTAGTTGCGCAGGTTCTGGCGGTAGTACTTGTTTAGTGAGCGGTGACCAGCGGTGCGGCCGGAGGGGAGGTGGAGCTCGTATTCGTCGTGGTAGACGGCTTGGGGTGTGTGGTGCGCGTGGGAGTGGAAGCCGTCGGCAGCGCGGTGTGGGCGGGGGTCGGCGTGGTTGTGGTGCTTCGACTTGTTGAGTGACTTGTGGCGGTGGCTGCGGTCGATGGGTACGGCTGTGATCTCATCAGTCGGTACGCTCGAGACGGTGCTGTCGGTCTCCCAGCCTGCGTCCTCTTCGGCGTTGCTCGACATGGCTGCGTCATCCTCTGTGGTGGTCTTCGTCTCGCGCCTGGCACCGAGCTTGATTCCGCCTCCTGTTGTAGATGACGAATCGTCCGAATCTTCAGCCTCCTCTGCCATCTCGTCGAAGTCGGCAGCGTCGGGGTAAGAGCTCCGGAAGTCGTAGAACTCGCCAATCTCGACCAACTCAATATCCGAGTCGAAAGCAATCATGCAGTGGCCGCGGTCGCGCATGTGCGTTTGAATGCCAGAGGCGGTGTGGAGAGTCTTATGGCATTTCAAGCACTCGTGATAAGCGTGGACCTTCTCGTGGAGATGCTTGATAAGCTCCTCGGGTTGAGCAAGGAATTCCTTCTCGGGTATGAACATGCCGTGGTATCGTCCCATGTGGGTGATGTTGAGCTGGAAGTTGGGCGACTTGTAGTTGCAGAATAGGCAGTCGAGGAGGGGATCGGTGGCAGGCTTGGTCGATGCGGCAACGGAGCTCTTGTCGTCTTCGGCGGCGGCGGACTCGTTCTCAGCTGCGTCCTCGCCTTCGAGGCTGGCATTTTGTAGGCCTTCGGCGACATCTGCGACATCCTTGTCCCCGTTGACGGTGGTGGCTTCCGACTCAGCCATGGACTCTCCCAGCGAAAAGGCAGAGCTGACCATGGAGCCCGTCACCGAGGCGGCGTCGTCTAGTTGCGCGCCTCTGACCGACTTGGCCATGTTGATGCGATGCTTAGAGCTGTTGAGGTGGTTATTGTAGGCATTTTCGCTGAAGTATGTCTTCTGGCATGGGGTGCACAGTTTCTCAAACGACGCCTTGGCGGCAGTGGCGGCAGCGGTGGCCTTGTTCGCAAGAACCTTCTCGGTGAAGATCTCCGAGGATAGCGGTGGGAGCGAGGCCACGCGACGCTTGAGGTTGTAGCGATGCCAGTCGGTCTGCATGTGCGCCCGCTGCAACTCGCTCGATCGGAAGGCGACCTGGCATGTGTTGCAAGTGAAGGGATGCGTAGACTGGATGTTAGCCTGGGAAGGAACTTGCGACGCCATCTTTGCGAGTGTTTGGGGGGTTGACGATGTGGTTGCACTCGGAGGGAGGAGTAGAAATATAGGCGGTAAGGTGGGGTTGAGTGTGGGATGTGGTAGCGCCGACCATTTCACGACTTTATGACTGGCCGAGGGGCAAAAAGCGACTAGGCCGAGCAGGGCGCGATTACAAAGTTGAGAAGGCGCGGGATTTGGATTCTGCGTCTTATCAGCAGTCCAGCGCACGGCGAAGATGGTGAATTGCGCAAAAGGCCGACTTGGGGCGAATATTGAAGCGCACAGGCATGACATCAATCGGCAGGCGTTGTGCCAAGCCACTGGCACCTGCCATCCCTGCAGCGGATTAGAGCCGCAGGGCAAGAGCACCCCTCGGCCACTACCTCAGCCCTATCGCCTTCTATAGCATACCTCGAGTGGCTATGTGATACCATGACACTCGCACATACTATACCAGACCGCATCCTTAGCCGCCACTCTCTCTTGCAACAACATCGCCATCGATGATATGAGCATGTCAGACGGGACTGAGCACCCTCGCGATGCTCCGTACAATGCCACCAACCAGGTCCCATCGGCTTCTGCAGCGGCTGGCCCATCGACGCGGTCATCACGTGTCTCGAACCGCTCGCGTAGGAAAGATGTGATAGACGTACAAGACACCAACCGCGTCCTGGAATGCTCACAGACTGAAAGACAGCGCCGCTTCCAACATCTTGTCCGACAGTGCGCACATCACTCCCTCTCATTGTCGCATCGAATGCTGACCGTTGACTAGCTACCTATCCCAGATCCTACATGGCTGTAAGAGTGCCTACTGCAATACCCCCACGTGCCTCTCATCTGGCAAGCGCATCGCGTCGAGACCACACCGTCCACCTACATTGCTCACGGCCACCGCCCTAGCCCATTACCTTGCCGGTCAAGACAACCCGAACCGCGGCCTATGCCCCCACGAGCTCAAGGTCGCGCCTGAGTCATTCGAGATTACAAATTGCCTTGCCCAACATGCCAGCAACGGCTCCGCCGAGGACTACGTTGTTTACCCTTCGGTATGGCAACTAGCACAACAGCGCAGGCAACGTCATGCGGGAAATAGTGGTCAACAAGAGCTGGATGGCGACTTGATCAATGCCCTCAAGCAACGGCAGCAAGCTAGAAAAGACCCAAAGGCTCTTAGTCAGAACTTGTACGACAGCTTGACTATGATATACTCTTATACCACGCAAATGCCCACACCTGCTTCTATCCTTGCTTCCCTTCGCAAATCCGAGCACACTCCTGCACATGACGCTCGTTCTACTCAAGCCTCCGCTATACCGCCTTCCCGACCAGACGGGCATGATGCGGATTCAAATACCGAGCCAACGCTTGGTACAAACGCTTCGAACGCTACACAATTGAATGCAACCTCGCGTATCGTTCGTCACAATTCACAACTGTCAGCCGCCACTCGTGACAGTTCACAGCCAGACAACGCTAGCGCTGAGGTCCTGGCTAACGGGCACCATGTCCACAGGATTCCCTACCATCCCTCGAACGGCACGATTCAAAGATATCCTCCTCCAGCAGCACATCCTACTGCCGTGGATGGTGCAGCGGATTCAGTAATGCTATCAATCTCGAAAACAGGAAAGAAAAGCTCCACTATCGGTGGGACATACCCGGCTGCTGCGCCTCGAGCGAAGCCATCATCAGCAACAACCGAACTACCTACGAAGAACACCTCTGTTGAGGAACATTCATCATCCGGTGTACCCGTTGTCCCAACATTGAGTTGCAGTATCCTCAATGAGCTGAAAGAGGACGTCCATCGCCATGGAAAGAGCCGGTCTACAGACTTCAATTACGTTGTGGACTTTGATCGTCGGCGACGTACGCGACGTACAAAACCCCTCGTCAACCGATCTCTGTTCTATACTCTGAGCGACCCAGAAAAGCTACTTGCATCATTCCATGATAATAACCAAGACTTCAAAGACTCACCCTTACCTCATCTCGACTCAACACGCCTAGCCAACTCTTTTAGAGATTGGAATCATCGCAACGGTGCGCTCATCTTCGATAGCCTGTGGCTCGCGCTGGATGCTTTGCTCGTCTCTCCACCTGAACTCGACGTTCAGAAGAGTCCTCGTCTGAGGCCATCAAGAAAGGGCGCTTCCAATAGCAGTCCTTCCGACCAGTCCTCCAGTGGTCATCAAGGTGCCTCGCGCTATCTCAATACTCATGAAGCCGCTCATATCGTCATAATATGCATACACGCACTCACCTCCCTGGTACCGCTTGGATGGCCGCACACATGGGCCCAAATTCGGAAGCTTCGGTCTTGGGGTGTAATGGTGCCCACTGCTACTCCCAATACCGACGCTTTTGCACATCCCTACATGGACATCATCGACGAGTTGGAGTACGAACCGGCAGTGCGTCTTGCCGATCGTTTACTTCGGGCTATCGGGACGCGGACTTGTTTCAAACATATACTCGCCAGTTTGGACGTCGCAGAAACGACCCGGGATGGGTCAGAACAAGCTCCAGCTTCTGTCGGGCTTGTGGATATGGTTATACAACATCTGGAGGTGGTAGAGCGCGTCGGTATGGCGACAAAGATGAAGCTGAACTCGAGCCATGATCGCGATGGAGATCCAGGGTGGACTGTCACAGCTACTTTTATGGAGTGGCTGAGGACTATCATTGTCAAGAAATGGGACAGCAAAGCTGAAATCAACAAGTGGAGCAGCGTTGGTACAGCCGTGATGGTTCTCGACAAACTTCGTAAGCAGCTCAGATGATTTCACCATCGAGAGGCTAACATTCACAGATTCTAAGCGGCGATCTCTACAATTACATTCCAACATGTTCGAAATGCCGATACTCGATGAACGCATCGATACAGTAAACGAGCCTATCAACTACCTCACATGGGATCATCACCCCAATACTCTACACCTTTACGAGTACCCATGCCTCTTCTCTGCGCAGCATCTCGTGGCGTACTTCCGTACCATCAACTTCACCGAGATGATGAAGCAGTACGACCATACTATGCGGACCCACCAAATGCAGAAGTCGCTGGAGATGTTCCTCAAAGAACCGTATTGGTGGATTATTAAGAGGAAAATGAAGACTACCCTGAGCGAATACCTAGTGTTGGATGTCAGTCGCGAAGAACCTTTGAAAGACACGCTTGATCAGCTGTGGGGTATGGACAAGAGGATGTTGCTGAAACCGCTCAAGGTCAAGATGGGTCACAACGAAGGAGAAGTCGGTGCGGATCACGGCGGCGTGACGTACGAATTCTTCCGTGTCGTTCTGAGTGAAGCTTTCAGGCCGGAGAATGGTGAGCCACACTATCCTGTGTAAGTCACTAAACTAACTTTGGCAGGCATGTTCACGATCGATTCACAGACGCACATGACGTGGTTCCAACCAGGCAGCTTCGAACCCCCCTGGAAATTTCAGATGCTCGGTATACTATTCAGTCTTGCTGTCTATAACGGCATTACCCTACCAGTCACCTTTCCTCTTGCCTTCTATGAGTATCTCCAAACCACCGGCAACCCGCGCGTCGAAGGCCCAGCCGACTACGACCCCATCGACTACATCAGCGACGGCTGGCCCAGCCTAGCAGAAAGTTTCCGCACCCTCTTATCCTGGAGCGACGGCGACGTCGCAGACGTCTTCATGCGCGAATATGTATTCAGCTACTCAGCCTTCGGCCAGCCGATCGACCAAAACCTAGGCGATAACTTCCCTGCCCTCGCCGAATCAAACTCCCCAATCGAAGAGCCCGGTCTAGTCACCAACGAGAACCGTCTACAGTATGTGAAGGACTACGTCCGCGCCCTGACATACACTTCCGTCGCCCCTGGCCTCATCCCTTTCCTGCACGGCTTCCTCACCTGCATCCACCCAAAGAGCCTCCAACTCTTCACACCACACTCGCTCCGCCACCTCATCGAAGGCACTCAGCATATTTCCATCCCCGACTTGAAACGCTGCGCAAAATACGAGGACGGCTACACACCCACAAACTCCAACATCCGCGCCTTCTGGGACGTAGTCGAGCATTACAGCCAAGAAGAGTTGCGTCTCCTGCTCGAGTTCGTAACGGCGTCTGACCGTGTCCCTGTTACGGGCTATGAGAGTATTACGTTTCACATTGTTAGGATCATGGGAGCCCCGAGCAGTTTGCCGAGTAGTAGCACGTGTTTTGGGAAGCTGTATTTGCCGGATTATGAGGATAGGCGGGTTTTGGAGGGGAAGTTGGGGTTGGCGATTCGGAATTCGAAGGGTTTTGGGAATGTGTAGAGAAGATGATACACGGTATTCGGCAGAGACGCAGAGGAGGGAAGCGCAGCTACAGGTAGCTAGTGGCTGGAATACAAGGTATACTCGCCTGTAAGGCAGATCGTGTACCAGAATTGGAGCATGTCATGTCACACATATCCTTTTCCATGGCTAAAGCTTCGTCTCCTGTTGTCGGATTTGAAGCAAAAGAAAAGGCAAAAAAGAGCAAAAACATACAACAGCGGGGATTCGCTAGTGGTCACCCACCTAACTACTAATCCGCCGGTACACTGCTTGTATATGGCTGAGCGGACGGGAAGCCTAATTCTCAGTGTCCTATGGTCGTATGTGAAGGAATGGGAAAGATGTTGGTTTATATAGAGCAGACATTAAGGTCTTGCGACAGTCTTCATGGTTATCTTTTTCCCGAGGGATACGAAGAAGTGTCATCAAAATGGGTGCATACAGCGAGGTTCATGCATAGGATCAGTAAGGCTCTAGGATAAGTTTGCGGATCTTTCGAAGATGCTCGCGTAGAGAAGAGCATGTGTCTGTATTGTAGCATTGCAAGGTGGTTTATGGGAATCTGAGATTGTTTGCGTTGGAGATGGTTGGCGTTTGATGGGTTTGTGCTGTGATGTGAGGTGTTGTGTGATGTGGGTTGTGTTGGTGGTTTACTCATCGTCGAGTAGTGAGGGCAGTTTGGGCTGCGGTTAACGAAATAGTAGTTGTGGTTTACTCATGATCGTGATCGACGAGCGTGTCTGCCCACGTATCCATGTTGTTCTTTCTATCATCGTGACAATGAGGAGGGGGAGGGCGGCTTCGTTTGATTACTGACACATCGATTCGGGAAGTCGAATGTTGACGTTGGGATGATTGCTGTCCTGGTCATATAGTCCTGGTGATTAGAAATGTGATTCGTTGAGTGACAGACGTTGTCTCATAACTTTGTCATACTCACGTTCCTTAGCTCACCATCTTTGCATGCATGGTCCTGCTATACTATTTGGCTTCAGCAATATAGACGTGATAGATACTCTCCCCTGTACGTCTCATGACCATCTCGTACGTAACGCCAGCCAGCGGTCTAGCAAGGCCGCTCTCCGGCTGCTTTCTTCTTATCAGCAACTACGGCGAGAATTACCATGCCAAACAAGGACTCAGCAGCACGAGTCGAGTCGAGTCGTGTCGGAAGGCCCGCGACGTATGCGCTGGACGTCATACCCACCAATCAGCCCCCTCCACGAAACCTTCCCAAAACATGAAGTTCCTCTTACACTAGCGTATGTGGACCCCAAAGCTCAGTGGCGACTATGCGCACTTCGGTCTTCGGTCGTCTCGGAGTCGTTGTCCCGGGCCGTCGCTTTGTCGCTTCCTCACCGACCGGATCGTCGCTCAACGCTCGGGCGACGACCCGCTGCGTGGTTATCAAGAGTCATTCGCGTCGGTCGGGAAATGCCAAGAAGACTGAGCTCGCGGACTTTGTCTTCGGATGCGCCGGCGATTGGCTGGGTGCTTTGGTGTTTTGGTGTTTTGAGGGTCCTCGTGACTGGTATGTCTGGACATTGGCGGTGCGTTGACGGACGGGACTGCAAGTCGTGCGTGCGTCGCGGATGCTGGCGATTAGCGTATGTGGAGATGCGGTTGGCGGGCTGACGCAGCTCTGCGCCTGCAAGATTTCATTATCGATTCGTACCAGGCGGGCACGAAGGGGTGGTTGTTAGCGCAAGTGGGGGAGGTGGTTGTTATCGAGATTGCGAGGGTTTCTTGCCCGGGATGGGAGAAAAAGTCCAGGGAAGAATGGAGTGGCGGGCATAATGACTGATGTTGTTTTGTGCTAGTCGTGGTGTTGGAGGACAGGATAATTGTGATATCACTGCTGGGTTGTAATGTGGTGAACTACTTTTTGTGGACCCAACGACCTTAGATAGTTTAGTGGACTTCGGATGTAAACATGACATTTGGGTGTGGGTGGGTATACCAACGATTCAAAACTCAATCCAGAATTGTTTGTATGCTGCTTACAGTAGTGGTGGAGCGGAGCGAGCATGCATGTCCAGCGCGCGATCTAGCCCTCGAGTCGAGAATCAAGACCATCGCGTGGGGATAACTGCATCTGGAGTTGTGGACACGATGGATAAGCTCCGAAGGCCCCTTGCCCCTGCAGTTCTCTAACCGAACGACGACTGTACCACGAGGCAGCTCAAGTCTGGCCGAACTGATACGACGTCCAATTACAGTAGTTTCTCGGCGCATCGATGCCAACACATCAATCTGCGTGCAGGTCGGAGAGACTTTGAAGGAGTCAGACCGCAAACGGGTCGAGCCGACAAAACAATCATGTTCACGTGCCTGTCCGGTGAATCCTGCGAAGACTCTAGTGCCAGCGAGCCTTCGGAGAGCCGCATGCATGTGTCGTTGGAAACTGCAGCGCGCTATCAGTAGCCTGCAGCCACTTGGCATCAAATAGTGTTGATTCGCCAATGCAACGAGACATCTCTCGTTCGGGCTAGGCGGACGCAGCAGACCAATGACGGTGGGATCTGGAAGAACATGCGGACACTCCGCCTCGCACCGGTCGCTAGATGATCCGAACACGAAAGTGTATACCGGTGGAGCCTGGACGACTTCAATGCTCGCGTGCCATGCATGTTCACGTAGGAGCGACGTCCCGAGGAGTCGCGAGGTCGCGAGGAGTTGACCGAGTGGCGCTCGCGATAACGGTGGCAAGGGGACGCGCAGCATGCAGTTGAGCTATCGCATGCAGTATTGGTTGAGAAATGTCAAGATGATGTTCAGTCAGTAGGTAGAGGATGAGCAACTAAAGTTGCACACTACACAGGTAAGGTTTGCGGTGCCAAGCGACGTGCCAAGTCCTCCACGACTCCTACCCAAACTTCATCAATTCCTCATGTGCTTCAATTCTAGCGGATGTACATGCTTGCATGCTTGGCTGTTACGTAGTCCCGACTTGATCGACTACCCTGCATATGGATCATGTGCATGGCGTTGTCAATCTCGACGTCCGTGGTCGCTGCTCCTCGAAAGGGATCGATCACACTGGCAATACATGCGCTAGCGACGGGCAGACATGCTGTATTCTGTTGCATGGCTGTGCGGATATAATTGTAAAGGGATTGGTCTGGCCGGGTTTGCTACCTATGGGTGATGCAGCGTGGCAATCTTGAATCCTGCAGCGGAAGGCGGGAGGATGACTGAGCGCTACCAGAGTCTGGCCGCGCACACAACTTGCATGTTACGCAGAAATGGCGAGGCGACGACGAAATCACTGAAAGAATTTCATGTCAGAGATTTGCAACAATCACTATGAATTACAAGATACATCACATTGTTCTAGATTAATGTAACCCTGCTCGCTAAATGGTGAATACCCCAGCCAAGACGTGAGGTAAGATCGCGTGCTCGATGAAACGCTCCATGATGATCCCTCCAGCATCGAACATCGAACTGCGGCCGGTCGGGCCTTTTGAAGTCAGACCAGGGCGGTGTGCTCGTAGAGGTGGGATTTCGCCATCGCCCAAACGGGACTAGTTCGGGCGGGATTGGTCACTCGAAGCGTGGATTGCGTAGGATTGCGTGACCGCTGGAAGTCACGACCCAACCTTTTGTAAGGCGCGTCAGGGTCGCACTTCCCCACACACACCGTGCGGCCGACGCGACTTCCGGGGCGTCGCGCTTCTTATCTTCCCTATCTATAAAGGTCCCGCTGCCCTCATCTCAACCAGAGTTGGGCCACCAAGTTTCCTGCCTTCACCCACATTCAGAAATTAATTGCTTCTTCCTACAATATCATCGAAGCTTCAAGTCTACCACCACAACCACTGCCACTACAGTATGGCACCCAGTCTCTTGCTAGACCCAGAGTCGCCGCCCTCATCCTATGTCCACACCACCAAGCAAGCCTTCAGCCAGGACGGCGGTGTCTCACTCAAGGAGGCCCAGGCTCCCGTTGGCGGCGACTTTTCCTTCTCTTCTACAGCCATGAACGGTAATGGTAACGGCCATGTCAACGGTAGCGATGGCTTCTCCGGCAACGGGTTCTCAGATGCTCAGCAAGGCGGAAGCGATTTCATTACTGCTCAGACTCTTCGTCAACAGTCGGACAGCTATGCGACTCAGGCTCGCACTTCGGGAGACGGAAAGAGTCCCAACATCTTGTACATTATGGCCGATCAGATGGCCGCACCCATGCTAAAGTTCAATGACCCAGAGTCAGTTATCAAGACACCTCATCTTGATGAGCTTGCTAGGACCGGCGTCAACTTCGCGAGCGCTTACTGCAACTCACCTTTGTGTGCACCATCTAGGTTCACCATGTGCAGCGGTCAGTTGCCATCCAAGATCGGAGGATACGACAACGCCTCGATCCTGAGTCCAGAGATCCCGACCTACGCCCACTACCTCCGCCGCGAAGGATACGAGACTGCGCTCGCAGGAAAGATGCACTTCATCGGCCCGGACCAGCTCCATGGCTTCGAGCACCGACTTACTTCCGACATCTACCCTGGCGACCTGGGATGGTCCGTCAACTGGGACAAGCCAGAGGAGCGTCAAGAGTGGTACCACAACATGGCCTCGGTCATGCAAGCCGGACCATGTGTGCGATCCAACCAACTCGACTATGACGAAGATGTCATGCACAAGGTAAGGATTTCTCAGTAGTACAATATACTCCAGCGGTATAAGGAAGTCTTCTAACACATACCTTCAGGCTCAACAGTACCTCTACGACTACGTTCGGTCTGACCCCGAGACCCGTCGGCCATTCGCCTTGACCATCTCTTTGACCCACCCACACGACCCCTACACCATGATCCAAGAGTACTGGGACCGATACGAGGGCGTCGACATTCCCCTTCCCAAGGTTGAGATCGCCCAAGAGAACCAGGACTCTCACTCTCAGCGCCTGCTCAAGACCATCGACCTGTGGGACAACCCCGTTCCAGACGAGGCCAAGATCCGCGCGCGCCGTGCCTACTTCGCTGCTTGCAGCTTCGTCGACGACCAGGTTGGCAAGCTCGTCCGTCTCCTCAAGAACTGCAGGCTGGACAAGGACACCATCATTGTCTTCTCTGGAGATCACGGCGACATGCTTGGCGAGAGGAGCCTGTGGTACAAGATGAGCTGGTATGAGAACAGCGCGCGAGTACCGATGATTATCAACGGGCCCAACATCGCGCCCAAGAAGGTCAAGGAGTCCGTGTCCACCATGGATCTCTTGCCCACGTTCGTCGACCTCGCCGGAGGACAAGTTGATGATCGTCTGCCACTAGACGGTGTCAGCCTTCACGAGTACCTTGTCTCAGACAAGCCAGGCAAGGACGAAGTGTTCGGCGAGTACATGGGAGAAGGCACCGTTACTCCGACTTACATGATCCGCCGTCATGAGTGGAAGTTCACCTACTCCCTTGCCGATGGACCGCAACTCTACAATCTGGTTGAAGACCCGCAGGAGCTGCATGATCTTGCCACTTCCCCGGAGCCTCACAACCAGAAGATGCTCGCCAAGTTCGAGGCGGAGGCGCGCGAGAAGTGGGACTTCAAGACCATCCACAACGACGTCGTCCGAAGCCAGCGCATGCGCCAGGTTGCTTGCAGTGCACTGAAGATTGGTCGCAAGGAGTCGTGGGACTACCAGCCACCGGCCAACGACCAGAACCGATTCATCCGCTCGCATATTCCTCTGGACGAGCTCGAGCGTCGCGCGCGCTTCCCCATCGTCGATTACCTGGGCCGCGAGAAGTCAGCTCAGGCATCCCACCATGGTCTTGCTGGAGCAGCTGGCCAGTGAGGGCACGTGTCCCAAGCACCCACGACCTTTTTCCCTTTCGATCAATTTGTGTTATTACGGATGCCGAGATTCCATCTTTCCAGTCTGTTTCTAGCGATGCTGTTAATGTCCAGTTTTATTAGCGACTCATGGCGTATGACTTTACGACGCAGGGTGTGTATTGTCAAGCGTTCTGCAAACAGCATGGTCAGAATGAGTTGCATTTACGGCGTTTTGGGGCATATGAGGGCAGGGCGTTATGGCGATGATGATCTTGAGCAGGCGATACATGGGCGACGGGTGATCTGGCTATCTATAGCACAGTACAACAATAAAACTGAAAACGTAAACTCGGTGCCGTGTGAACTGACGTCGGCGTTGATCATGTGTGAAAGAATGATGGTGGTGCTGTGAAGCTGTGTGACTCTGGTGCGAAGCGGCGGGGACAAGGAGGGGTGTAATGGTGAGTACCACGATTGGGGGACTGCGATAAGCCAAGTTTCAAGCTACACGTGAGGTGGCGTTTGCCTCCACAAGCCGAACGACCGACAGCGGAAGGTGCCAGTTACGTCTGCGACTCAGTACCACCAACCTGGGTTGTAGCTATATCCGCCGTGTTTGTTCTACCTCAACCTCCCACTCCTCTTCAACTACCTCGAGCTCCGTCCATCATCTACGCACAACCATGTCTACTGCAGCCCGCCGCCGTTTGATGCGCGACTTCAAGGTACGCCACTAGAGCAGCAGCACCAGCAAGCTCGGATGTTCGTGCAATTCAATAGAGAGCACCGTACTGACAAAGACAGCGCATGCAAACTGATCCTCCCGCCGGCGTCTCTGCGTCTCCAGTTGCGGATAATGTCATGACCTGGTACGGCTCACCGCATTCCCCCGCACGCGACACCAAGCCTCGCAGTCGTTCTCGACTTTCGGAGACACTGCAGCGGCAACAACATATGTCTGAGCTTGACTGCTGACACATAGACAGGAACGCAGTTATTATCGGCCCAGCAGACACACCGTTCGAAGACGGGACCTTCCGTCTTATAATGCATTTCGAGGAGGCATACCCAAACAAGCCGCCGGGCGTCAAGTTTATTAGCCAGATGTTCCATCCCAACGTATACGGGACCGGCGAGCTGTGTCTGGACATTCTTCAAAACCGGTGGTCGCCCACGTACGACGTGGCAGCCATCCTGACCAGTATTCAGAGGTACGTCAGAGTAGAACTGGTGGGCTGCAGCGCGACACATGCTAACAGGGTCCAGTCTGTTAAACGACCCGAACACCTCGTCTCCCGCCAATGTCGAAGCGTCGAACCTGTACAAAGAGAACCGCAAGGAGTACACCAAGCGCGTGCGTGAGACGGTGGAGAAGAGCTGGGAGGACTGAGGGGCGACCGGGGTACGAATATCACGACACGACGGCATGGGATGGAGTTACAAGGAACAGGGACAATGTCATGTTTGTTACTGGCAGCCAGGGGCGTTTTGCTTGAGGCTCTGCGGCGTGGAGTTTGGTTCACTATGGTTCTATGTTCGTGGCGTAGCCAATATACGTCCGTTTTCGTTGGCATCGCTGATCATGTAGAGAAGCGTGATTGTCTTTGTCGCTCCACTAATGCAGGGATCCTGGTTAGTTGTCTTGGGCACAATGCAGCGGTATCTTGCTGCAACTGCTACAATGCCATGAAGCAATGCAAGTAGGCGGGACAAAGAGGTCGCCATAAAGGAAGATGCGCAGAGCATGCTTTGACCAGGCAGGTTGCGTCACGGCCGTTGGCGGCGGGGAGGAGGAAGGCGCGCTATGGGCATGCAGACCCTGGGCGTATCAACACAAGCCCCAGCCCGCACCTCGACAATAGACCGGCATCAACATCGCTCGTCTCCCTCACCGCGCGCGCCCCCGTGCTGTTGTCCCCTCACTTTCTCCTGGCGCGAGCAGCGAAGGAGTCCCCGGCGAGCCCCAAGAAGCCTCCGTGGCCGTTTCAGCAGTTCCCCTTAACCATAGTCATAGCGGGGCCTGTAATTACCCACCTCCCACGCGCCGAGACACAGCGAGACGTGACGGTGCCACAACAGGACCTCCCGGCGGGCCTGCAGCAACACCTGCCCCGAAGCGCGAGCGAAGCAAACAGAGCGAGGCCTCTGGGCCGCACCGCCTGAACAGCAGCAATCATGTCGTGAGTAGCTCCAAGATGGCGGCGAAGAGGGGTGGCATGGCTAACAAAACGGGCGACAGGGGCTCCAATACTATCAAAGGTGCGCCGCCATACACGAGACACAGAGAAGCATGGGATACGGGTTACTGACGGTACGACTGCAGTGGTGGCGCGGTTCCGCCCGCAGAACAAGGTCGAGATAGCCAGCGGCGGAGAGCCCATAGTCGAATTCAAATCCGACGACACATGTACGATCCAGGTACGGCATGCCAGCTCGAGGGATGAAAAGCAGAGCCACTAATGCTGTGTGTTAGTCGAAAGAGGCCTCCGGGGCCTTTACCTTCGATCGCGTTTTCGACATGAACTCCCGCCAGGCCGACGTCTTCGACTACTCCATCCGCCCCACCGTCGACGATATTCTGAATGGATACAACGGAACAGTCTTCGCCTACGGGCAGACAGGAGCCGGAAAGTCGTACACCATGATGGGTAGCGATATGGACGATGAGGTCGGCAAGGGAGTCATCCCGCGTATCATCCAGCAAATCTTCGCAAGCATTCTGGCATCGCCGAGCAACATTGAATACACCGTCCGCGTCAGTTACATGGAGATTTACATGGAGCGCATTCGCGATCTTTTGGTTCCCCAAAACGACAATCTGCCGGTGCACGAAGAGAAGAACAGGGGAGTCTACGTCAAGGGTCTGCTGGAAGTGTACGTTTCGAGCGAGGAAGAAGTCTACGAGGTCCTCCGAAGAGGTGGATCGGCACGAGCGGTCTCAGCTACCAACATGAACGCCGAATCCTCGCGATCGCATTCCATCTTCGTCGTAACGGTCAATCAGAAGAACGTCGAGACCGGGTCATTGAAGAGCGGACAGCTCTTCTTGGTCGATTTGGCTGGTTCTGAGAAGGTCGGCAAGACCGGAGCGAGTGGACAGACGCTGGAGGAAGCAAAGAAGATCAACAAGAGTTTGAGTGCCTTGGGCATGGTCATCAACTGCTTGACCGACAGCAAAACGCAACATATCCCCTACCGAGACTCGAAGCTCACACGTATTCTTCAAGAATCGCTCGGTGGTAACTCCCGGACGACCCTGATCATCAACTGTTCGCCAAGTAGTTATAACGATGCCGAAACGCTGGGAACACTTCGGTTCGGTATGCGCGCAAAGACCATCAAGAACAAGGCCAAGGTCAACGCCGAACTCAGTCCGGCTGAGCTCAAGGCCATGCTCAAGAAGGTACAAGGACAAGTCACGTCATACGAGACATACATCGGTTCGCTCGAAGGGGAGGTCTCGGTTTGGCGTGCAGGTGAAGCCGTCCCCAAGGAGAAATGGATTCCGCCTCTAGAGACAAGTCCGTCATCTGGAAGGAAGCCAGCGACAGCACCCCGTCCAGGAACGCCATCGAGACTGGAAGGTGTGAGAAATTCGGAAACGCCACGACCTGATTCGCGAATGGACCTGGAACGCGCAGGTACACCCAGCATACCACTAGACAAGGACGAGAAGGACGACTTTCTGCGAAGAGAGAACGAGCTCCAGGACCAGGTTGCCGAGAAAGAATCACAGCTTGCCAAGGCCGAGGACCAACTCAAGTCTGCCAAAGAGGAGCTTCAATACTACAAAGACCGGGACGCGAAGACGAACAAGGACAATGAGCGAATCACCATGGAGCTCAACGAGATGCGCATGCAGGTTGAGAAGATTCAGTTTGAGAGCAAGGAGGCGCAAATCACCATGGACGGACTGAAGGAAGCCAACTCGGAGCTGACCACCGAGCTGGACGACGTCAAGCAACAGCTCCTGGACGCAAAGATGAACGCCAAGGAGACTTCCGCCGCTATGGACGAGAAGAAGAGGAAGAAGGCCGAGGCAATGGCACAAATGATGGCCGGCTTCGATCTCGGCGGCGAGGTGTTCAGTGACAACGAGCGCACGATACGGAAGATTATTGAAGAGCTAGACCAGCTCCACGACATGAGCGCAGCTGGCGAGGCGATTGCTCCGGATGCGATCAAGGGCCTGCGGGAGAAGATTGTCGAGACACAGGGCATTGTACGACAAGCCGAGCTCTCCCTTACTGCCCGCAGTGAGGAGGACAACACATATGCCAAGCGCCGCGAAGCACTGGAGGCACGCTGCGAGACCTTGCAGACGCAGTACGAGGAACTCCTCGAAGGCAACCTTTCAGAGCAAGACAAGGAAGAGCTCAAGGCACGCCTTGCCGACGCCTACTCTGCCCGACAAGAAGGCAACCTCGAACTTGTCGAAAGCCTCAAGCAGGATACTGCACGTATGCTGGAAGAGAACCAGAAGCTCAAGGCCGAGAACGAAAGCCTGCAACAGCGCATTAAGAGTGGCGCCATTGCCAACGGTGTCGCCAACGGCATCAACGGCAAGACTGTGCAACAGCAGATTGCCGAGTTTGACAACATGAAGAAGAGCCTCATGCGCGATCTCCAAAACCGCTGTGAACGAGTGAGCAGACTGAGCTTCTCAAACGAAGACGCATTGCTAATAAGCCACAGGTTGTCGAGCTTGAGATTTCGCTAGACGAGACACGCGAGCAGTATAACAACGTGCTCCGTACCTCCAACAACCGCGCCCAGCAGAAGAAGATGATGTTCCTCGAGCGCAACCTCGAGCAACTCACCGTCGTCCAGCGCCAGCTCGTCGAGCAAAACAGCTCCCTGAAGAAGGAAGTCGCCATCGCCGAGCGCAAACTCATGGCCCGCAATGAGCGGATACAGTCTCTAGAAAGCTTGTTGCAAGACTCCCAGGAGAAACTCACAGCTGCGAATCACCGGTAACTTGCCCCCTCCCCTTCTCCCATCCCCTCAACCCCTTACTAACACCTTGCCAGCTTCGAAGCCCAACTCACAGCCGTCAAAGAGCGCCTCGAGTCCGCCAAAGCGGGCTCCACCCGCGGTCTCGGTTCCCCCGCTGGCGGCGCATCTTACGCTGGCTTCGGCGGCGTCGGCTCCCGCATCGCCAAACCGCTTCGTGGCGGCGGTGGTGGACCCGTCGCGGATGGGCCTGTCCTCCCTGTCATTGGCAATCTGCAGAAGCAGGACGGTGATGGGGGGGATGCGAATAAGGGGAAGCGGACGAGCTGGTTCTTTAATCAGCGGTAGTGGGAGTGGGGGTGGTAGTAGGGATATGGAAAGGGTGGAGAGGATGGAGTATGAGTTTGAGATGGATTTGGGTGGGTATCATTGATGGGATGGTATGGGATGGGATGGGATGGGATGAACAAGGTAGGAATGACGGGTGTTTATGGCGTCGCGCTTTGTGTGGACGAAGGGAAGAAAGGAAGGTCGATGGATGAGATGAGATGCATGCCCGAACTGAATCATGTACTCGATCAAGGAGTGAGTGGGTTGTCACGTTTTTGGCTTTCTATCGCTTGGTTCGCGTACTGTTTTGCGTAAACCCACTTTATACCATAGATTCATTATCTTTGAATACCTTGCATGAGGATGTTTGTCTACGCCCATTCGTTCCGTGCTCTGTCGTTGTATGATGGTTCAGCAGTATAGAGAAAGGCCGCACTTTATGAGCATCGAGTATACGCTGATTGTTATATGAATAATCAAAGAGCTGACTAGTAAAGGAAAGTATGAAGCTAAGTGTTCTGAAGATAGTCTCTCAGATCCGCACAGCCACGCGATTCGTTTGGTACTTCTTCGTGCTGGGGAGGAGGAGCGTGCAGATTATTGCTATGCTGCCAAAGGCGATGCTCGTAAACTAAATGCCACACATATCAGCTTTGTGGTACATGAGCAACCGTTAAAGGGAGGCCCAACTTACCCAAACATACTTCAAACTCTCACTATACGCCCACCTCGTCCCTATCGTCGCACCCTCCATAACCTGCGGCGTAACACCCAGAATACCCGCCGAAGCCAACTTCTCCGGCTCCGTAAGAAACAAGCCCACGAACGCCTCCACACTCTCCAGCGGCAAACCAGCCTGCACCGCATACATCGCCGTGTACTTGGGTAGATTGGCAGTCAATTTCCCCGCGAAAATGTTGTAGTAAATCGAATACCCGATACTGCCGCCAACCGTACGAATCGACAGCGACAACGCCGCAGCAGTTGTAATGAGGGAATCTGGGCAAACCAGCATCGCAACCGTCGCAGCAGGAACAAGAACGCCGCCTACACCAAACCCCGCCATGGATCCCAGAAAAAGAACCAAGCGTTCGTTGTCTGGCGTCATAACCGCCAGCGCCCCAGCGAAACTTGTCATAATCCCCACAGCCACAAGCAACACCTCCCTCGTATTTCCCGGGAACCTACTCAGTGCCGCATTAAAAAATATCGCGCCCACCGCCGTCGTAAGCGCGGGCCCCAAGCCCCTCAGTCCAATAGACACAGGATCGGGGCTGTAAACACTACTAAACGTAACCGGAAAGAAATTAAGTATGCTGAAGAAATTCATGCCCGCGCTAAACGCAACGACATATGCGAGACCGACGATGCGCTGGCCGGAGAAGAGGGCAGAGGGAACCATGGGGTACGCTGCGAATTTCGTCTCGTAGAGGATCCAGAGGGCAATTAGGAGGAGGCCGATGAGCATGGTACATAGGACGTATGCGGAGGTCCAGGGATGGGTGTAGCCGCCTGATTGGAGGGCGACGAGGAAGAGGGTCAGGCCTGTTATGGAGAGTACACCACCCACATAGTCTATTCTTTTCAAGATCGCTTTTCGCGTGTAGGAGGGGGAGGAGTTGGTACTGGCGCGCTGTGGGAAGTAGGTTAGGGCGAGGCCGACGCCGACGATGAAGTTGAAGATTAGGGCGACCCAGGGGCCCCAGCGCCAACCTGGCCCACTGGCGGAGTGGGACCAGAGTTCTACGTAGAGGAGGTAGGGGCAGAAGGGGAGGACGAAGGCGGTTACGAGGGCGAGGGAGTAGCCGCGGTGTTTTATGGGGACGACTTCTGCGAGGCTGGGGTGGGGTGTTTGTTAGTAGGGATTGATATAACTAGCGGTCGTGGCAACTGAACCAGTGGATGAAGAAACTAGAACAGAAGACAACAGACGAAAGGGAAGAAAGAACACAACTTACCCAGCAAGACCAGTCAACTCCCCCGTCGCAGCCCCCGCCCCCGAAATCGCCATGCCAGCCAACAGCTGTCCGAAATTCTGTCCACTGCCCATCAACGCACATCCGAGGCAGATGCAAAAGGAGCCAAAGAGTGCGATGTAGCGTTTCCCGAAGAGGTCTTGGAGGTAGCCTGCATAGGGGCATACGGCGGCGATGGCGAGGATGTTGGCGGTGGGCAGCCAGGCTGAGCCGCGGTCGAGATTGAGGTCGGCTTCGATGAAGGAGAGGGAGGCGCCGGCGAAGTAGAGGATTACTTGGGAGCCTGCGGTGGGTTAGTCTTGGGTGGGGATGGGATGTGGAGGGGGGAGGTTGTACCAGTGTATAGTGCGGCGAGGAAGATGGCGGCGAAGATGCTACGCACACTCCATTCTACCTTGCCATCTGAGTCGTCTCCTTTGAGTGCGTGGGCATTATTCATGTCCACGCCTTGGTCTGTTTGGTCATGCTGTGACTCCAGCGACAAGTCTGTAGCATGATGCGGGTTTGCATGTTCGATATGATGGCTGACTTGTTGTTTCTCCTTTTCGTAGTCCGGGTGGATGGTATCTGAAGCCATGGTATAGCGAGCTGAGTAAAAGAATTCTGTTGATTCAGTACTGCGACTTTGAAAGGAGGAGACAAGGTGCTTGCAACTGTCTACCCCCAGTGACGGGATCATAACTATCCTATATCTCCAATCCCTCCCACATCCCGATACCAAACGCACCCCACATCCATGAAAACGTCTTCCTATCAGTTCAGCTTGGCCTCTGAAACATGCAGTCAACTTCATGTAGCGATCCAGTAGGCGCGTACCAAGCCCACATCCGACCCACTCGTACTGGTTTCCAGTGACTAGTATAAGCGAAACCTGGGGTAGTCGCAGCTACTAAAGTGCGGGGAATTGACGAACGTTTCAGCGATGTGACGATCTGGGCCCATTTTGGATCCAAGGTGGCGCATGGTTAGACTGACTCGATTGTAGCGACATCGTGAGGAAGCGGCCTTTGTGGCTAGCATCTTGCCGGGAAAAGGTTCCATGTACCCCGCAGTGTGGGAATCGGGCCCTATGGACTTGGCGAGCGGCTCAGCTACGAGCTTTTTGTTTTTGGTGGCGGGCCTGGATAGATCGGTTCTGGTGTGCAGGTTGCGTTGTGGTAAAGATGGCGTACATAGGGTAATGTGACCCCGGTGGGGTTCTGAGTAGCCTATATGCAGTTCGCATGCCTATCTTATCTACCAGACGAAGTATTCATTAGACGACTATACTGTTTAGTTAGACAGAATGGGCCTTCTGATGAATGCTGCCGCAGTCAAGTTGGAAACAAAGATGAAAACAAGTACTGGGCGTAGCTCGATTGAAACCATTTGAATTCGCGATTCTGGCGGTGCGGGTCGGACAGTTCGCATGAATGCATCCGACAGCGTACGTCTATGTGGATGGCCCTGCTTTTTGTTGAGCGCTGGTTCGGCGATGTAATTCCACAGGCTTGCTCTCCAGGTGCTTTTCGCACATGTTGTGCAATACGGATACCGGATGAGAAAGATCATCTCTGTCCGGGCATACCTCTGCACCTCACTTCTTGTCCTTCGATCCAGCATCATCCGCGATCAAGGCTTCAACATCTCGCTCCATGAGCCAGCTGCGGACACTCTCCATGACCTTCTCAAGCGTCTGGCCACCACCCATTACATCGTCTAAATCATGCACAGTGGTTCCACTCCTATGGTCGGTAACCCGCTGCTGTCCCCAGTTGTAGGTCCGCACCTTGTCACCGCGGCCCATCTTCGCCACGCCAATAACGCTTCGTCGCATGTTGGCCATCTCCTCTTCGCGCTTCTCGCGTCTTGACTGGGCAATACGCGAGCGCAGAAGCGCCCAAGCCTTCTCTTTGTTCTTGTGCTGGGATCTAGAATCTTGCATCGCGACGACCGTGTTTGTGGGAATATGCGTTAGCCGAACTGCTGACTCGGTCTTGTTGACGTGCTGGCCACCGGCACCGCTTGCCCTCATGACTTCTAGTTTGACCTCTTTCACGTCGATGTAGTAGTCGCTTTCAGGGTCTTCGAAGTCCTGCTCTTCTGCAGAGTTCTCTTGTACACTAGGTAGCACGTGTACGGATGCCGCGCTCGTGTGTGTACGTCCTTTGGCCTCAGTGGCGGGTACGCGCTGTACCCGATGCACACCTGCTTCGCATCGGAAGACGCCGTATGCGCCATCGTTCTCCACCTCAATGATGGCTTCTGATAGCGGTACACCCGCTTCCGTCGTTCCGTTTATGTTCTCATACTTGAGGAGGTTTGTGCGAAAGCCATTGCGGTTGCAGAAGGCTGAGTACATGCGGAAGAGGTCCCCCGCAAATATAGCTGCCTCTGATCCGCCTGCGCCAGGCCGTATCTCTAGAAGACATGGGAGGTGTGCGAAAGGATGTACCGGCACGAGTGAAGTGATGAGGTTCTGTGAAGCATTGGCGAGCTGCGTCCGTGTTTCTCCAAGGTCGTCGGAAGCGAGTGATCGTAGCTCGGGATCGGTCGAGGAGTCGTGTATCATCGAGGTGAGCTCTGTCACAGACTTAGTCCATATCAGCTACTGAAGTGCTCGTGCTGGCCGCGATATCCTGCTTACCTCGTTGGCCTTATCCCACTCACCCAACGCATTCACGATCGGGCTGTATTCGCCGAGCTTCTTCGCCGCTCGCGTGTCAAAGCCATTGGAGAGCTTTTCTGTCAGTCCCTTGTGCTCGGAAACGATTGCGCGGGCTCTTGTGAGGAGGGCCGGGGGTATAGACTCGGATGTCGCAGCTATGCGATATTAGCGACCTGCTCAGACGGGACACATTCAATACACACCGTTACTCTGGAACCGAATACTGCGATTTATCAACGGACGAGCAATGCGCGAGAGGCAATTGCGGCATATCCATGACGTTGTGAGCATCGTCGAGTTGCCTCAAGCTCCAATCTGTGAATTTCTCCATGTCCAATGCGCGTTCCGATCGGCTCGGAACGTGTGCACGTGATGATAACCCTCACCCCGGCAGA